AGGATTTGGTGCTTAGTTTCTCAAATAGAGGTTCAGGACTTACATAGGTTCAGGTGTACGGACAAAGCATCTGTACGGATATCTAGGCCTATGTAGGCGGCGCCTTTAACTTTGAACCCTAAGCCCTAGAACTTAAACCGCAAATTCCAAACCCTTAACCCAATCTTAAAACCCAAACTCTAAACCATAAGCCCTAAGCCTTAAACCCTAAACCCCAAGCCCTAAACCCTAAACTCGAAACCCTAAGCGCTACACCCTACGCCCTAAACCCCTGAGCCCTCGCCTAAGCCCCTGATCGAGAGCCCAGGTTCGAAGAGTTCACCAGCCACGACTGGTCCAGCGCCGCATCTCTGGGTCGCTTTGCGACTACAGGCCTAGTAGTTACTTAAAGCAAGCCTTTGGGGGCACCACATAAGGGTTCCAGGGTGTGGGATGTAGGGTGTGGGCTTTAGGGTTGAGGCTTTAGGGTTTGGGGTTTAGGATTTAGGGTTCAGGGTTTCGGAGGCCCCATAAGGCTGGTAAGACCTCCCTAAGGCTCCCTGCACTCTGACCCTAGTATACGGAGTCGCGTCTGACCCTAGAATACGGAGTCGCCGTTTAAAGGGGAGTCACCCCAAACCCTAAACCCTGAGCCTTAAACCATGGCAAAGAACATGGATCCCATTGCGGAACCAGAGCAATGCGTCAGGCTTCGCTCGGGAAGCCTCATTGACTAGAGCCGCCGCGCCGGGAGGCCTTCGCTGAACGGTTTAAAGCACTTCCCTTTCAAGTAGCATGGACTTTATAAGCTATACTGCGGGTATACAGGGATGTATAGGGTCCAGGGTTTAGGGCTAGGGTTCGTTTAAAGCAAGCATGGGCCTTGTAGAGGATATGTTGTTGCTATATCAGCTCATATACGAGCTATGCATGGCTATATAGGGGTATATAGGGATGTGGAGGGTTCAGGGCTTAGCGCACACCTTGTCATCATTGCTACCTCCTTGGCCGTAAGACTATAAATAACACCTACATTGGGCCTTAAAGGTCTTTGTGTGTTACCTTCATTGGGCCATTTAGAGCCTGAGGCATAGAGCACCGGTTGATTTTTCAATGAAATCTAGCCGGAAGGGGTTGCCCGGGCCCCAAGGTAGAGTGATACGCGGTGTCTACCCTCCACAAAGGGGGCTTTCTAGGGCCAATATAGGGCCAATATACCGGGTATGTATGTAGTGATAGGGATGGCGGGATAGCTGTCTGGAATCTTGGGCTTGGAATTTAGGGTATATGTTTTCGGGGCTAAAATGGAACCAACAAGATATCTGTGAAGCTTCTGACAAACGTTAGGTAGATCCTCCGTGCAGTGGTAACAGCCCTAAATATAGAGTTGATAGGGCCTTATAGTCCAATGTGGTACCGCTAAACCCAAACCTAAACAAGTGGAGGTTTTGGGGTTCCAGGTCCACTTGGTTCAGGCGAACCTTTCCAACACTTCTGGCCTCTATACCAGTGTAGGACCTGAATTGTGAAAACAGGGTTTGGGATATATTCTACAAGGATTTAGGGTTTGGGGTGTGGGGTTCAGGGTTTAGGGTTTGGGGTTTAGGGATTAGGGTTCGATATTGCTGTGATTATATATGGATTATGTATTTACACCCCTCCGTAGTATCCCGAAACGCTCTACCTCATTGGGCTCCTCTGGAGTTTCGCTACCTGGCTACTTGGAGGTTTGGATGTTATAGCAAGCCTACTTACTCGTTCGTAGTAGGCAATAAGCAATACATTATATAGGGATTATATACTGTAGCGGTTACATTCGCTTATTCCGTGCGAAGAACCAGTAAGTATAGCAAGCCTAGGGTGATAAGCATCCCCCAACAGAGTTCTAACTTAGTTGGAGTCATTCATAGTTCTTTCGATTTTGAAGACGAGTCGGTGACGCAATGATGTGGCATATGCAGGCCCTGACAGTACATCCCATCGAGAATAGCCGTAGCAATAACTTCAGATCCTGTGATCGCACGGTCTGGAAGAAGATCCTTGAAGTAATGAAGCCCTGAAACTCCAGACCTTGCACCCTCAACTGCCTTACACCCCAACTTGAACGCAACAAATCAAATTCTTAAACTCAAAGCTTTAAGCCCTAAACCCAAAGCCCTAAACACCTAACCCAATCAATCCTAAATCCGCAGCAGCCCAAACTCTAACTCCAAGCCTTTAACCAAACCTATACCTTCAGGTAACCAAACATGGAAACCCATATGTAGGTCCCTTGAAACGGATAAAATGCTCGCAGCGACGATGTTGGGCTTCCATGTTAGGGGTGTAGGGTTCAGGGTTCTGGGTTCAGGGTTTAGGGTTCAGGTTTAGGGCTTGGGGTTTAGGGTTAGGGTTAGTCTTGGGTATGGATGTATGAATCAGTACCCTCAGTCGTCTCTTACAATCCCTGTTATATAGTAGTATCCATTTTCTTTTCCACTGCCCCTATATAACCCCAATATAGTATAGTAGTTTCCATTTTCTTTTCCATTATTCCTACATGCATTATTCGGGGAATTAGCTCCAAAGCCATATCCTAATCACGGAAACTCCGACCCAAGGCGGCAAAGGCTGAACTCTTAAGTCGCCAAATTTCTGCTCTAGACTCCAAACCTGCAAGCCAAGACCCGGCCTAATACTAAACCCTAAACCCTAAATCCAAAATCTTAAACCCTGGACCCTTAACCCTAACCTGAGGCGTCAGTCCGAAACCCTAAGGCCGAAACCCTTGAAAACTACCTCGAAATCACGAAAGTCATGCATTTCAGGCCGGCAAAACCATTCTATTATTGGTATACCATATCATACTATATTATAGCTATTGCATGTTATAGTTTTTATTTTATGAGAGTCTAGGAACCTGAAGCCCTAACACCTGAAGCCTCTTTTTTTAGGTTTTTTTTCCTGACTGAAGTCTGTGTACTCCCCACTGACATTGGGAGAAGTTCTTCGGCACCACAAGTATCCCCACTGCCTGGAAAGTCAAGTAGTCTAGGCATCTGAGACGGTGCAAGATGTACTCCGCTTTTAACTAACCTCCTCAATTCCCTAAACTTCCTGAATGCAAAACCCTTAACCCCTAAGTCCTCAAGCCACACAGCTTAAACGCTTGCACGCTAACCTCAAGTTCCTCTTGCGCTTTTGGGAGGAAATCTTCGCCTCCGCGCCCGCTTTGTTGGCAATACTGTGTCCGCTGCCTCAGACTGTGAGGGGGTATTGGGTGTGGGGATTAGGACTTAGGGTTTCGGGAGTATGGTCTAGGTTTCGGGGTCTAGGTGTGCATAGCAGTACCGTAGGTTTAGGGGTTCGTTTTGCATGTTGGGAGGGATCAGGGCTCAGGATTGCGATGAAGGTCTAGATTTCCGTTGTAAGGCTGCTCAGCTCTACATGAATTTCGGAAGCCCTGGAGCCCTCCAAACAAATCTGGGTCGTAGTTTCGAATCAAGATCCATAGGACCAGGGTCTAGTGGCTCAGGTCAAGGGGTTCTACATTCAATTCCATAGGCCAGCCACCCACCCAAACCTTTTTGAGCCAAATTAGCACTTGCAAACGAACCGAGGGGTGCAAATAGTTGCGCCAAAGCCTCGCACAATTCAGAAATCCCTGCGCTAAATTGGGATTCGACAACCGTAAGCCATTCCTCTTTCCCCTGCCCCTGCCAGGTTCCCCATGAATCAAGGTTATTTAGGGATAGTTAGGCTTGACTAAGAGTAGTTAAAATTAGGAGGTCCCCCCACCCTGTAATAGTGGTAAAGTAGGAATACAAGGGGGCCCTAATACAATCCTTATATCACTTATAGTCACTATTGGGAGTCCTCCCAAAGTGTAAAGGGGGTGTCAGGAAGCCATTACCCTGGTTTTTTGCTCTTACCTTCTGAGTGCTGAAGTGTGTGCCTGGAGGGTCAGGAGCCTAAGTAAGTAGATTCGTAGTGGGAAGAACTCGGGTTACCACATGGCTTGCAGGGGTAAAACGTATACTTACATTCCTTGATCTTCCACGTAGAGTTTAGGATTTCGAGCTTTTCAGGTTGGGCCTGTGTCTTTCTGATTACTTTCCCTGCCCATGAAGTTATAGTCCCCCTTGAGTAGATAGAATATGGGGTATATGGGGATCTTATTATAATATACCCAAAGGGGGATTATACTTTCTCCCAAATCCTGGATCTGCTTTCAGAAGCCTCAAAGCCGGGACACTGCGCCGCAGGATCTTTAGGAGTACATGAACACTAGCGTTTGGGTTTAGGGTTTAGGGTTTAGACCTTCGGTTAGCTAGGAATCAAGGAATGGATCGTTCTAGTAGTTTCTATAAAGCCCATTATAGTAGTTTCCAAATTGGGATTGGGTGATGACCAGTCCTGGCAGATGGTAAGTCCTTTGCAGGGGCCTTTGAATTTGAGTGAGTTGATAAGCAGGTCATGGTTTAGGGTTCAGGGTTTAAGTTTCAGGGTTTAGGGTTTAGGATTTAAGTTTTGGTGTTTAAAGTTTAGGGTTTAGGGTTTAGGGTCAGGGAGAGTTTGTTCGTAGGCTATTACCTCTGGCGCCTATTTGGATTAACTGGGGTTATACATATACTTCCTAAGCCCCAGCCTCTAAACCCCCCCAGACTCTAAACCCTAAACCTTAAATCCTGCACCCTAAACCTTAAACCCTAAACCTTGACCCTCCAAGTAAGTCTTCAGCCTCCGTCTTAAGCCTCCAGCTCTGTAACTGACTCACTACATCCGGAACCAGAAAACTGGTTTAGGGTTAAGGGGGTAAGGTTTAGGGTTGGGGGTTTAGGGTTTTGGGTTTAGGGATGGTCACTTGCAGGAGGGCTTATCTGGTGTTCCATGTTGGGGTGGGAGAAGGTAAGCCCTAAGACCCTCAATTCCCTACCTAAACCCCAAAATCCCTTTAAGCCGAAAAGCCCTCTCGACCCCTCTAAGCCCTAAACCCTTCATCCAAAGAACCTGAACCCAAACCCTAAACGCTGAACCCTGAGGCGCAATTGCCATGCCGGCATCCTGGCCTCTGAGTGTCTGGACTTTATTCAAGACGGTTTTGGTTACCCCAACCTTTGAATTCAAGACTTCATGGCTATATCATATGACTCTGATACGTAGGGTCACGATTTTACCGGTTCGTGTCACTAGAATCTGCATTTTATGCTTAGAAGCCATCAGCGGTTCAGAATAGTGGGCTCAGGATGCAAAACGACTCGTGTTGACAGTTTTTTTTTTTTGCAGAGCCCGGTATCATTCATGATGTAGGCTTGTATTTCGTATGGACACTTCAGCACAATACGACACTGCTTGATTTTCAAGCAAGTTGCCTATCAACAAAACCTTAAACCATCAACCCTAAACCAACATTTTCAGGACCAGCCATGGTGAATCTTGCAAATCTAATTGAGGTGTCAGTGTTGATGGCTGACGGTCCGGCTATTATGCAGCCCTAGAAACCAACTGATGGCCAGGTAGGGAGAGCCCAGGCTACAACAAGGCAATACCGAATAGTCCCTTATACTCATCTCTGAGGATGGCATTGTGTCGTAAGATTCATATGTAGACCAGTGGTTGCTTCCGAAATCTTTTGGGTCCTTTTCCCGAAGCGGCACTCGTATGGGGATTTCCAAAAATTGCGTGTCCCTTTCAGGGTACCCATTAATAATGGTTATAGAATATGAAGGCATATTTGGGGTTCCCTTCGTCTATGGAGATTATCTCAAACCTTAAACAGTAACTCCAAACGCAAAATGGAAACTACCTTAGAACACGAAACCACTAAACCCCTAAACCCCTCAAACCCCTAAACTCCCAAACCGTAAACGCTAAATCCTAAACGCTCAATCCTAAACCCCTAAACGCTAAACCCTAAGCACTAAATCCTAAACCCTAAACCCTAAACCCCTAAACCCTAAACCTTTGGATCATCTTGGTTAAAGCCAAGGTGCAGGCTGCAAGCTGCAGGGAACCAGTCAGCTCGCAGCGTTGAGAGTTCCAGGAAGTTCCAGGTTTTAGGGTCTTAGGGTATAGGGTTTTGGGCTTAAGGTTTAGGGTTTAAGGTTTAGGGTTTAGGGTATAGGGTTTAGGGTTTAAGGTTTAGGGTTTAGGTCAGATTTCCAGGGTTTGTAGGGTTTCCAGGGTTCTGCTGCGGTTTTTAGGGTTTGGGGATTTAGGGTGTATATATATATACACACGCGTATATATATCTATATATATATATGTATATTTATATTTATTTGTTGCTTTGGGGGGCGCGTTTTCGGGATTTTTCGGCAACGGATCTTTGGGTTTGATGAGTTTTGAGGTTCTTGGTTTTTTTGGGGGTTTTAATGAGTTTAGGGTTGGGGTTCACTGTTTTGGGTTTATGGCAGGAGCTTGCTAGAAAAGACTTGATAAACGCTTCAGGGGCATCAGGCCCCTAGACCCCTTTGGGTTCAGGGTTGAGGGTGGGGGCCGCAGCCATAAATCAAAACCCACAGGGCCAACTGGGGCTGAAGGCCTTTCAGTCCAAAACCATGAGGGCCCCTCAATCCTCCCAATTCCACAGATCCCTCAACCCATGTGAGCCCTAATCTAAACTCCTTAAAGGGGGCTATATAGGGGAGTATATATGGGACTACTATAGGGGTTATTAAGGGGGATACTAGGAGTTTAGACTATAGCTCATGTAAGCTGCTACTGAAGTGACAGCATTCTTTGTGCTTCCTTTGGGGTTCTGGTACTTGATTCCTAAACCTCTAGCTACCTCCGAACCCCAGGTATCCAACCCAAGTCTCAGCTCAGGCAGACGTAAACGTCCAAGGGGTTGAAGGGTTTAGTTTTTTTGGGGGCCCAGTCTTCTACCCTAAGCCCTAAACCCTAAACCCTAAATCCTAGACCACAAAACCCCCAGCTCAGAATCCTAAGCTCCAAGCTCCCAACCCAAAACCTCATGCCCCAAACCTCTTAAAGCCCCAAATCCTAAATCCCTATTAGCCTTAAACCACAAAACCCCATAAACCCTAAACTGAAAAACCTCTAAGCCCAAATCCCAGGTTCCAGTCCATAAAGTTCGGGGCGGTTCAGCTCTTCAACAGCCACGCAGAGCTGGAGGCAACCCCCTGGCCCTGTCTTAAGTTCTCAGGTTTGGGCCAAGTTTAAACTTGAAGCTTTGAAGGCGTAATCTGATGTGGGGGTCATTCGGAGTCTAGGGCTTCTATGTGGTAGGAATTTTGAGGTTCGGGGTAGGGTTATAACCTATCGGGCTTAGTGACTCTACGCGGATTTGGGGTTGATCATGGGCTCAAACGTCTGTGAGGATTGTAGCTCCTTAAGGTTTGCACGAACAGTCAAAGTCAGAAGGCTTTAGGGTCCAAACACAATTAATATTATAGTATTTGGGCCCTAAAACCCTATTATTTGCGTCCTACTTACCCTTATATAATCCCCTAATCCTTAGAGGTTCAGAGTTTAGGGCTTAGTGACTGATTCTTAAGGGGAGTGGGTCCTCATACAATCCCAAGAAGACCCTTACACAACAAAACCTCAACCTAAACCCTTACCCCTAAACCCTAAACCCTGATCCTTGAAAGATCACTCCCCGACTAAGTTGAGTGTTGCTCAATGCCAGAGTTTCCCTAAAGAAGGGGACCTATTCTAGACACCAAAATACAGCAATTCCTATTACGGGACCCCCAAAAAGGTCCCCCTAACTTGGGGAACTTTAGATACCATATATATCTCCCATATCGCCTTTAATCACCTTTACACGTACCCCTAATTTTGGGAAACCCCATTCACCAACCCTGGGAGGCGTCTTTTCCACCCTTCCGCAGTTAAGAATTACAGGACACAACGTCTACTGGTAGTAGGGAATAAGGGCATATAAACCCCAAATAATCCCTATATGATATATTATTGTATTCCCTACTCACCCGCAGTAAGACGAAGTACTCTGGCTGATAAACACTTGCCCATTGGACCCTAAATGCTGCATCCGAAGGCCAGACTTGAAGCCTTTTTCTAGCCGTAGCCGTGAACCCGAGACGTAAGTTTTTTGGAAGGGCAACGTGCTTGCAGACTGTGGCGTTGGCGCGCCTTGGTTGGCAGCCGGGGGGCTTCTTACTTGGAGGTTCATGGCCAGATTTTTGGAGTAAGGGCTTGTGACTTGGGTTTTGTATACTTAGAGGTTGACGAGATTGTTACTGTACTGATGCAAGCGATGGTTATACGTGGGCTAGAGCTTTACATCCTTCTGGGTTTCTCATTGCTTTTTTTTTTTTTCGGAAGAGGGTTGGGGGCACGCACAATTTGACTTTCAGGGTTGCTAGGGAGGAGGAAAGGTTTGGGGTTTAGGGTTTGAACGCCGTAAATCAGTGGTTTGAAGTGCTCTTCAAGCCTTCTGAGCAGATGATCAAGTGCCGGTCCTTCCTGGAGGGCCCCATGTTGCCTCAAAGCGGCATGCTGGCTCTGCATTACCCCATGACTTCGGTCAATCCCCCTCATAGTACTGGCCAGTCAATATGAAGCTAATCTGGCCTTAATATACCTAAACCCTAGGCCTTAAACCCTCTTTCACGGCGCGGTTGCAAGCCAAAGACTCTGGTCAAGGTGAGGAGAACAAGCCTTGCCGCATGGCTAACGTGCTCTTTCTTACTGGTTCTTAGCAGGGAATGAGGGAATATTATCCCAATATAATTCTTATAAGAACGGAATATAGGGATAATGGAGAAGAAGCTGGAAACTATGACATTATAATAGGGTCTCTATTGGGATCATAGTAGGGAATAAGGGATTATCATCCTCATGGAATCCCTAAATAACATATTCCCTAATTCCCTGCTAAGATGCAGTAAGCTTTGGCGTGGAGGGCTCTCATCTTCAAAACCAAACAGGAGCGAGGTACCACTCGAAGTACCAACCACCTTGACTTTTCACCACGAAACGGCGCCAATACTTTCAGAGGTTGATTTCCAGGTTACATGTCCCTAAGCGCGAAACTCTCATCAAGCTTTGTGCTCAAGATGGACTCACCACATACTCATCATAGTATTTCCTACGGAGCAACCCTACAATCATAGGATGCCAGGATAAACGGGCACTTGGGCCTGGAGAATTCATAGCATAAACCCAGATCTAGAGATCTAACTGATTGTACTTCAAGTCAACCTTACCCTCAGTTCTTACAACAGTGTAGCACAGATTTAGTGAGCTAGGATCTGCAGGAAACTTGTTTTAGTCATTTAGGACCCTGGCAGTTGCTGCTCTACATCCTGTAGGGTTTATAATCCCCCTTAAGTAGATAGAATATGGTTTTGGGTATATTATAATAAGATCCCCATATACCCCATATTCTATCTACTTCAGAGGGGCTATAGGGTTAGGGTTGGGGGACTTGAGGGCGGAGCATCTCTCGGTGAATGGCATCTCGGGCTCCTTGCTCCCAAGGTTGGGAGTTTAGGGTTGGAGCCCTAAACTCCAAACCCTAAACCTTAAACCCAAACCCTAAACCCTAAACCCCAAACCCAAACCCGAAAGCCTAAACCCTAAACCCTAAACCCAAACCCTAAACCCCAAACTCTAAACCCTAAGCCCCAAACCCCAAACCCTAAACGGATGTCTAGAGATCAGACTCAGGTTTGAGGTGCTATGGTTTTGACTCGACTATATGTTTTAGGATGCAACGTTCAGGGCTCAGGGGTTGGGGGTAACGGGAACCCTGAAGCTTCTATACCATAAGCCCCCGAACCATAAGCCCTAAACCTCAAAGCTCAAAACCATAAACTCCCTGAAGCCCCAAAACTTCAAAGCCCTGAACCTTAATGCCCCGACCCCCTACATCAAGCTCAAGCTCAGGTTTCCCTGCGCGCTGGGCTGCGGGACCGGATTGCGGGAGCGACGGAATGTCGACTGAGGACACGATTAGGGCCCTAAACCCCAAACCCTAATTCTTTAGGTACCCGCAGGAGGATGGCGCATCACCAAAGCCAGCCATATGAGCTACTGTCAGTATGAGGGTCACACAAGGAACCATGAAGAGTGGACGAAGGGGTCCCTATAATAGTGGTTCAGGGTAGTTTAGTCTAGTCCCCAACATTCCCTCATAATGACTTATGTCCACTAGGTACATGGGACATATGGGCTGCAGCTCATACGGTAATGGTACCCATGGTCACTTGCCCAATTCTACTAAGCACTGACGGCATGGCCCCGCGCTGCTCGAATCAGCCCACGAAACCAACCTAAACCAGAAGGCCCTAGAGCCTAAACCCTAAACTTCAAGCCCCAAATTGCCAGGGACCCGGGGGCATGTTTCTATACCTACTGGTTCTTACTAGGGAATATTGGAATATAATCCCTATGTAATCCCTGTATGGTATACTTCCTTATTCCCCACACAGAATCAATAAGTATAGGGCATGGTGAAAATTAGGCGTGCGTGATTCCACTCAAAAGCAGTAGTTCACAGCATTGGCATTGAACTGTCCAGCAATCTTGCTTTAACGCAGCGGCAAACCAACGTATTGAAAAGCAATGGATCCCGTTCGAAAACCCGCTGATTGAACAGCCACCCGCGACTGTGGCTAAACCTCTTGCGAATTTTCTGCCGAGTGGTCAAAGTCAGAGGCTGATGCATGACATCATGATGATGATGATGAAGATGATGACGATGACGATGATTTGAAGCAACCTGTTAATTTTGTGAGTTCAACTGCCCACCCTGCATCTGTCACAGCCTGGGCCTACGGGCTGGTTGCGCTGGCAGGGCATATATATAGAGCCCGGCAAGCGCCCTCTAGCCGAAACTCCACTTGCCCACGAAGGTCCGTTATTTCGTACAACTTGCAACCAACAGCAGGTGATAGCCGGAGTCACAGCGAAAGCCTGCTCCAGTTTGTGGGTCACATGCCTCATGGCTCGGCGCAAGCTTATTTTCGCCATAAGCTCAGCTCCTTAAAGGGGGATATATAGGAGATGATGTAGGGTTTAGGGTTTGAACTTTTCAAAAAGGGCTTTTATGAGGGATTGATAGGGGACTATATAGGTGTGATTAAGGGGGATACTAGAGCTGAGATTATGGCTCATATAATGTACTTGAAGATCCTGTTCCAATCATTTTATGAACTGCAAGTCCAATTTCAATGAATCTGGAAACTTTGAGGCATTTGACTTTAAACCGCGACCCCCAACAATCTCAGAAGAACAAACCCCAAACCCACGTGGTTTAGGGTTTAGGGTTTAGGGAAAATCTCAGAACACACCCAAACTCCGTGAAACCTACACCCTGAAACTCCAGACCTGCGAATTTCAACACCCGAAGGACCAACGTCATCCGGAAATGTGAGATCGGGCTGAAGGCTCTAAGCAGTTTGAAGTACTGGGAGGGTCACGGGGACTTCGTAAGTAGGTTAATAATTAGGATCACTAGGGTTACTATATGGGTTATTAACGTACTTACTAAGTCCCCCTGACCCTTCCTACTGGACTAATCGAGTTGAGGGTTTAGCGGTGTTTTGGGGTTTAGGGTTTGGGAATCTGGGAGACATATGCAATCAAAGCGTGGTAGGGTTAGGGTGGACGGTTCAGGATGTCAGTTGCACACCTTGAGCCGTAAAGCTTGGACCCTAAACCCTAGCTGCAACAAAAAAACCTTAGACCCGGAACCCTACCACCCTCCAGAATGCTCAACGTAAAAGCTAAATTACCCCACGCCCCAAACCCTAAGCCTCGAACTGTACATTGTGCATGGGACGGCCTCAGACAGGAGGCCACAAAGACCTTAAACCCTAAACAATAAACCGACACATCGGGGCTCCAGGAGCTCTTGTCGTTCCCTCAAGGGTTGATCTGGGGTTTCCCCAAGATAAGGGGTATCTCTTTCGGGTCCCCATAATAAGGGTTAAGGTATATTCAATTCTATGTCGGAGTACCTCTTAATTACTTCAGGAGACTACCATGCCTAGATATTTCTAGTAACCCCCATCTAGGGTTCATATGCATGGCGTAGGTGGCTTCTCTTGGACTTTTGGGGAGTGCAACAGGATTTGGGAGTGTTGGTCAGTGGACCTTCGAGCTCACCTTACAGAGGGTTAAGCAGAGACCATGCTGGAACGGGGTAGGGTGGAAAGCCAAGGATGAAGTTCCTCGTGGGAGTTCGGTCTTAGGACTTTTCGGCTTCTAGTTAGGTTTCTCGCTTTTTCTCAAGTTCTAATCCCCTGAAACCCCAATTCTTTCAACTCTAAACCAGCATCCCCAGCAGTTCCCTAAACCTTAGAACCCAAAGCTCCTAAGACCCCCCCAAACCCTAAACCCTAAATTTTAAATCCTAAGCTCTAACACCAGAACCTGAAATTCTAACCCCTGAAAGCCCCAAAGCAGGTCTGCTCGGCGCAAGGCGGCCGGGTGCAGTGTGGAGCCTCGGAGGATAGCCCTCTGGCTTGGTGCCTTTAGATGGATATATAGGGTCAAGGGTCCAGGGCTTAGGGTTTAGGCATTAGGATTAAAATGTTTGGGATTTAGGATTTGGGGTTTAAGGTTTGGGGTTAAGGGTTTAGGATTTAGGTTTTGGGGTTTAGGGTTGAGGGGTGGAACCGTGGTCTAGAGGTTTGCGGGAGGCTTCAACAGTTGGGCGTCCCTTTTGGAGGTTCCCATTCTATCGATTCCGTGCTTGTGCGAAGAAGGGGGATTCCGATTCATGGAAGTTCTTATGTATACACTAGGAGGACCGCCTACCCTGTAATAGTGGTGTAATAGGAATATACTAGGACCTTAATCATGTATTCCTTATTAACCTGTATACTCATTATTGCTGGGTGGGGAGGTCCACCTAATGTACACACTAGAAGCAGGGGAACTGTAGAGTTTAGGGTTGCGGGGTTGCTGATAGCTCTTCGGCTTCTTCTGCTTAGGTTCCAGGGTTCTTAAGGTTAATGTAGGAGCCGAAAAAATCTAGCATTGGGTTTCGAGGCTTGCTATACTTAAGTTGCACGAGGGTTTTGAATCATAGCCATGCCCCGCACAACCCTAAACCCTAAACCCTAAATCCTAACCCCACAGTGCCAAGGTTTCACGGAGAATGGAGATGGGCTTGTGGTCCAGGGCCCGGGCGCACGGGTTCGACTTGAGAGGCGCTCCTGCTGTTAACATGTTCCCTAGTTTCCATTTCATTTTCCATTTTCTTTTCCGTTTGATTCCCCATTATTGGGGGATTTCCTGCTGTTACAGTAAGAAGAGGATGACGCAGAAAGCCTTAGGATCTATGCTTCAGAGTTTCCCAGACCCCAAGCCCTGAAACGGAAGCTGTTATAATGGGTTATATTGGGATTATAGGGTATATAGGGGTTTTATAGGGATAATGGAAAAGAAAATGGAAGCTACTATAATGGGTTATATTGGGATTGTAGGGTATATAGGGGTTGGTTTTATAGGGATAATGGAAAAGAAAATGGAAGCTACTATAATGGGTTATATTGGGATTGTAGTGTATATAGGGGTCTTACAGGGATAATGGAAAAGAAAATGGAAGCTACTATAATGGGTTATATTGGGATTATAGGGTTTATAGGGGTTTTACAGGGGTAATGCAAAAGAAAATCAAAGTGTGTTGGGTTTAGGGGTCGGGGTTTGGGGTTTCGGGCTCAGGGTTTGTGCTTTGGTGTTTATGGCTTTGGGTAGAGGTTGGGTACTGCCCCCACCCAGTAACATTCTATATTAGGGGTCCTAATAAGGGTATAATAATTATTATCCAGCTGTTAGTGAG